ACTTCACAAAATAATATGAGTTTCATAGTATTTGTTATTCTATCTGGAAAAATCTCTGAAATTTCTGTAGGTTGTAAGACAGATAAAATTTCTTTTCATATTGTGATCAAATATAACTGTGACAAATATTTATTCTTCTGTATAAATACTCAAGAAGCTCAATTTTCAAGAGAGATTTTGGACTTTATAGTTTAGGGTGTACTATGGCCACATGTCTTTCTGGGGATAGTTATTTGAGTCACTTACCAAAGAGGATACATTTCTACCTCTACTCTAAATTAGAATTGAGAACATTTCAGATGCTTAGACCTTACCTGTAGTGGGTGAATACACAATGTAACCTACCTGTGCAAGGAGATTTAAGAGCCATCCATCAGCTTGCCTGAAGCAGACTAAAGTGCTTTATGAGTATCAGGCGTCCCCCGTGACCTTCTGATTGAACTATGTTTGCTTCATGTTCAAGTCCTGAGCATGAGAAGTGAATTCCCAAATAAGGCTCTGTTTCCCATGGGAGAAAAACAAACACTGATTTTCATTAGCCCATTCTCCACTCAGGCTTTCTCAGATTAGAGTCCTGAGTGTGGCGGGAGAGCCGCTTTGAGACCGTGATGAGTGCGAGTGGATGACATGAGTGCACGACATGAGTGCACCCCTAGCTATTTCACTGTTATGGGCTTAGGAGATCAATCAAGCAAGTTGGCAACAGCAGTAAGGAAGGCATGCTGGAGACACCAAAGAAAGTAAAACTTACAGATAAAATTGAGGGAAGGGGGCAAAAAGAACACTATCAGTCTTACGAATTTTCATGTAAAATTTGGTCCAAATGTTGCCAATTTTACATATTAGAACTTGAAAATTTTTCCTTGCATACATAGATGATAGATAGATAGATTGAACATTCTCAATATGGTGAATGACTTCATGGTTTTTTTTTTCTTTACTACAAAACTAAACATGGAATCCTTGCTTAAATACAATGTGATAGGTCTTTCTTTCTTTCTTCCTTTCTTCCTTTCTTTCTTTCTTTCTTTCTTTCTTTCTTTCTTTCTTTCTTTCTTTCTTTCTTTCTTTCTTCTTCTTTCTCTCTGTATTTGGTATAGGGCCTCACTACACAGCTCCAACTCATAGTGATCCTCCTGTTTTCAGCCTACCCAGGGCTGGGATTACAGGTGTGGGCCACCATGTCTGGTCTAGGTGGCCAGCTCTGCCTGTGGTACTGGGGATCAAACCCCAGTCCCTGAGCTTGCCTAAGCAGGTGCTTAGTCCACTGAGCTGGCCCTACTTTCTGTTACATATTGCTAGAATGATCAGCCAACATTTTGCTTAGAATTTTACAATATATAATATATTTCTCTGCCTTTGATTTCATGGATATAGTCCTGCTCAATGACATGGAAAATATACTATCAGTTTACTTTTTAGCGAATTCCTAAAAATCAGTCGGACATTTCCCCATAAACATTTTGTTGAATTTACAATTTAAGCCACTTGATTCTGATTTTAGAGTGGGATTAGCTATTTTAATGTAAATTTCTAATTTTTGATTGTATTCAATCAATGTTTTTTCTCCTAATATTTTTTGCGTTGGTATGAATGAAAAATATAATAAACCAAGTTTAAGACTATATTCAACTGTGGGTCACTTTTATGTAGATCCCTCTATGTTTTGTATTTCTTATTCGAACTGCATTGAACCAGCAGACTTGTTGTTGTACAAAATATTGAACTCTGTAGCAATAGTTTCATCAGATTCCAATTCCTGTTTTGAAAACTAATATTTAATGGATAGAAAATTAAACTGTGAAAAGTCTAAAAATCTACTTAACAACTTATTGCGGATAGCTCAGTAGAAGAAGTGCTTGCCTGACAAGCATAAGAGCCTGAGTTCAGGCCTGGTTCTGCAAAATAAATAAATAAATAAATAAATAAATAAATAAGCAGATGAACCATGAAAGTGAAATATGTCATATTTATATATTAATCACATAATATATGATATAACATATAACATAGCATACAATGTAATTATAACATGTGCTATATTGTAAATGTCAACACCTTTTGTTCTGTTATTGTAGCACTTGAGGTATCAGTCATATCAAAATGTATAATACAACTGGAATAAT